TCGAGATCTGCCGATGGCGAAGAAGCAGGCATTCAGTGGGTGGGAGAACAGTAAGCCGTTTTCGGTGGGCAATTCATTCCTGCAGAAGCCATGAACTGACCGGCTTCGATTGCTTTGTAGGCTTTCCACAGTGAGTAAAGCGCTGTGCGTGTTTTCTTTTTCGTCTGCTCCAGACGGGGAGCGTGGAGGTGTGGATTCTCTTTTTGCACCACCTCGATCTCACTCTTTGACAGTGTCATTTTTTACCCGTAGAGGATTCACTCATTCCCGATAGCTTTGTATCTCACTAGCATACATGTTTGCCTTTTATAGAGTGGTGACTATGCCAAACTAGTGGAGGTACGGATTTGTGTTGACAAGTTTTTCAACCTGCTGAACTGTCCACCCGATACGTCAAGGTTGGAGATCCTCTCGGCCAACCCTCATCTCGCCTGGACCAGTCCCTGTCCCAACGTCTTTGTCGTCTCCCTCTAACGCAGGCATTAATGGAACTAGTGCTGGCAACTTTTTTGTGTTTATTTTTTTATTTAAAAAAATTTGACGCACACGTCATTTGAATTTATCACAAAATGGACTTTGAAATCTTGGGCATCTTGATTCCCTTTTCTCATTTTCTACATTAATAATTAAATAGGAATTGTTTATCTCTCCAAGTGCTGAGTACAAACACAACAATTTTGTTTTTTCTTTTCAATTCCTGCGATGTGTCTTCTTCGAAAAGAAACTTGTAAGATTTTTTCTCCAACGGAATTTCGGTCTCGGGAATGATGTTAACGCCCAACAGGGCTGAAATATTAAGGGAAAGCGACTTTTTGAAGACGTTGTCTTGTAAAAACTAAAAGCAGGCGTCCAAAGTAGATCGAGACGATCCTGAAAAGTGGCTGCCATGTCCACCTACTGAAATTTATTTTACCCATTATAACCATTGTTGGTATACAAGGCTTAAAGTTCCCACATAGCCTTACTTTTTCCTGTTGTGTTAGTATTTTTGCATTCACTAAAGCTATTTTTTGTGGTCTTTTTGCATAATTACTGAAACTATGAATGAATGCTCCACTCAAGTCAGCCCTGGTCTTCCACACTCCCGATGCTTCAGCAATATCAGGCGCAAATTCAGCTGCGGAGCATTGACAGGCCTGGTGACAATCCTTCAGTGGAATGATGGTTCGACTTCATACACTTTGGCGTGGTTACACTTTCACTTTTAGGTGTAGTCTTACTCGAAAATTGACGCACTCCCTGCCTCTGTAATCCCCTAGCCTACGTGATAAAATTTTTTTTGTGCCATGGGCTTTTGTTCAGAGGTTTTAAAACGCAAGATCAGTCATTTCCCACCTCATACTACTGATAACTGTTATGTAGCAGAACTAATTCTCGCCTTTTCACATCCCTTGCCTGGCGCTTAACTCCCTCCCCCACACGTTTTAAAAGTTTTTGTCGTTTTTCGTGTTTGTCTTAATTGTGTCTAGTTTTTACTCACATTGTTCCAATTTCCTTTGATTTTGTCTCTGCGGCGGTGACACGGGGTTCTGCTCTTCACAACATCTATGCGTTCTATCCCATGTCAATTCGGTTTTCAGAAATGGTGTCTGAAAACATCTTCACAGCTATCAGGGCGTCCTACTGAAGTTTGACGTGAGGTGGTAAATTGGGCCGAGCGGTGGGATGCCTATCGCCATCAGTAGATGGAAAAATGAGAGCAGTAAGATGGTAAAAGCAAAGTATACTTTACCAGTCACTCTAGCGATTCATATCACGTTTTCAAATCTGTAAATGGGGAAATTGTGGGGGCAACGGAAATTGCTACTTATATTCCATCAGCAAACTCGTTTCAATTGACCGCAGGGGACAGATAGGTTCATGCCTACACTTACAAAAAACACGATTAAGTATCAAAAAATTGACACCTGATCTCGATTCTAGAACTTTTTTTGCTAACAACCACATTGCAACAGGGCTGTAAAATTCCTCTAAAATGGGGAATATTTCTCGCCGGACTTCTCGTAAGCACAATATGACTTAATTTCCATTCAGCATTACTGGTTAGAACAGTCGTGAAGCATATCTTAGGCCCCCACGCGTCATTTTCTTCCCCGGGGGGAGGGCTCCATGCAAAGTGGATTCAATGCATACCAATTTGACAATTTGACAAGGGCACCTATCAGGATCTTACCCAAACAGACGAGAGCCACAATTCCAGGAAGGTTTACTAAAAACCACACACACACACACACACACAGCGAGAGATCGGAGAATTCGCTTGGCCGATCGAAGCAAACAAACTCTTCCCCGATTACTAACTTAATACATGATATTGACAGCATTCATTCCGCTGTCGGTTCGGGGGTTGCGAATCTTATTAATGTTCTTCATGTAGAGGTCGTAGAGGCGAGCGTAGTTGTTCCTTATATCCTGCAGCGTCATGCGAATTCGTATGTACGTCATCTCGTCCAACTCGATGAGAGCGTCTGTGTAAGCCTTGATTCCAGGCCACTTGATTCTCTTGGTATTAATTTTACCTCGGTAGATAAGGTAGTCACAGTAGAAATCCAACATGGAAGTGACGTCGGTTTCTGTTCTCGAGGCATCCACCATCACTTCCTCCTGCACTGAGACCCCAAAGTTGTTCCCATCCTCGATTTTAGGAATGTTTAAGACTACCCACATTCGCAAAAGTTGGGCATCCTCGCCCAGTTGGAGGAGGAATGGTTTGACGACGTTGTAGGCCTCCGAGATGATGGAATTAGTGGATACTTCAAACGATGACCTAGGCAATGAGGCGTCCTTGTTGCAGGCGTCGGACGGGACCGGAGCAAGAGCCGCTTCGTGGAGTTTCTTGCGATTCGATGCCAGATCAAAAAGTGGACTTTTGAGCACGTCAATTATGGCCTGAAGACGCTGAGGAAAAACAGTGCTTAGCTGCAATTCTGCATCCTTAGCCAACTGGGTGCGGAAGTTGTCCACGAAACTGGTCAAAGTCGTCGCCATGCGCGAACTCTGCACCACACCAACCCTCAGATCACGTGGGCTTCAGGCAAAAATCGTTTTCATTTACACGACACCACGTGGATCACGGATTCGCTCCGGAGGGGCGACCTTGCAATCCGATAGCCGGTTCCAATCAGAAAAGCTTGTAAACATGTTTTTGTCAAAGTTGTCGAGGTGATTCTCGAATCGATGCAGTGATTGTCATTAGGTGCTGTGGTATTTCATGAATAGAGTGTGGGCTGGGATTAGTTTTTGTGCTTGGATCTGTTGTTTGGTAGGATGGCGAGGCCTTCAACCGACCAATAGTAACTCACCTTCTTGGGCTCCGCTCCTCAAGGCTTCGTCTGATTGGTTGTACTTGGTGTCTCGGCAAATCTCACCATACCAGATCCAGGAAAGCGCCCACCTTCCAAAGATTTGGCCTCTCATCAACGCATGATGAGGAGGCACCTTCACTGGTTCTATTTGCATCGTCCCATTCCTCTTTGGCAGCATAACTGAAGCCGTGTTAAAGTTTAGTGGAGCCGATGGTCCGAATCAAAGGCACTCAGAATGAAACAATGGACAAAGTTGGTAACAGTATTATAAAGCGGCGGGTACACACTGTGACTTCGGAAGTGATAAGGCATTGACGCCACCATGACGGTTATCCGCCCGAATCCAGCCTCCTGTCACCTCATCGGCTGGATGAGCTTCCAACCAATGGATAACCGCCCCTTTAAGTAACTTGAGTTAACTATTTTTAAAAGTAGCCAGAAGAACCTTCGAGGTAGTGGTCCTCATTTCCTGTTTGTCTTGAAACAAACAAAGACAACGTGTACCCTACGCTTTTCAATTTGTGGCGTTAATAATCACCACCGGTAACTGGTTGGTGTGAAATGACTCTAAAACAACAGTAACTCTCCCTCGTCTTGGTAATAGTAAAAAAGTAAGACAGCAAACGGTTCTCTTTTTTCATTTCGCTTGGAGAATCGGTGAGTGAGGCAAGAGGAGCTCCAACCAAAACCAGGAAATGGCGAAAGCAAAGTGAAGGAGAGGGAGGAGGTGGAGGAGGAGAGATACGAGCAAGGTTACATCCAAGGATCAGTCACACGAATGGGGAGGTAAAGAGAGGCGCCAATGATAGTGGTGGAAAATCAGGGGAGGTTGTCAGGGTCGCTGAGGACAGGCACGTCATGGGAGGATTTCGCAATAATCTCAGTGACCGCACCGGTAGCAGTGGTAGTGGCGGAGGCGGCAGCGGCGGTGGTGGTGTAGGTGATTGGCTTGATTGCCGCTAGAGTACTCTGCAGAAGCGCTATGCAAGCCTGAAAGAAAGTGAAGCCAAGTGACAACGTCACCACTACCGCCACTTAGAGGATCCAAAGCACTGGCAGAAGAGCAAAGGTTGTGATTTTCCCCTTACATTCTTATAGGAAATTTGACGGATCGTATTTCCCAGGTGGGGAAAATTTGTCCTTCAAAAGCCTATTATAGACATTGTTGATCGGGTACGAGGCAGTAACTCCACTGGCGTTAGTGGAAAGGGGAAGTTCAGTTTACCTAACCAATCTGTTAAAATAACTAACTAGTTTGTGCAGGTGAGATTATGGGGACTGAAAAGGCATTAACTAACGCCAACTTGCACAGAGAATAAGCGCATGAACTTGTAAACAAAAGTCGTGACACGACTTGCGCTGTCAGGAGAGGCGCACTGAGTCATGGTATCAGACACCTAGCATTCAGGTCAGTGATTAACGGGGCAAATGACTACAGTAACAAAACAAACATCTCAGGTTAAAGCGGTTTTCGTTTGCAGGCGCCTAGTGACAATTAGGCATGATCGGTTGGGCCAGAGGGTATGTGCAGGGGGATGCGAGAAGTACCAAAGTCTGAGGCTCGTTTGATCGGTTAGTATAGCTGAACATATTCTGATAAATGATCTTCCTTTTATAAAATAGTAATGTATACCTTTTTAAGTGCAGAAAAAAATACCCCTAATCAAGGTCAACTGTGTCCTCGTTTGATGTAATAAACAACCGTACAGATGAAATGCAAGAAAATCAAAGGTGAATAATCTAACGGCAAACGCAAAAAAAATATGAAGTGAGTTTTGGTAGAAGAAAAGGGAGCAGAAGCACAGCCTACCTTGGCGTGCTTAATTTGCAGTTCAGCGAGGGCTACGAGGTTCTCTTGGAAGTACTTTATCCTTCGCACCTTGAAGTCTTCGATTTCTGCAAGGGCAAATTACATAAGTGTAAATCCATGTAATGGGGTGGCTATTTGGAAGGGAAAATGACAGGGAAGAAGTCTGACGACAAGGCAAGTTAGAAACAGCTCGATCGGAGAAACAAGCCTCACTCACTCAATTTGGCCAAACACAGCTACCAGTTACGGGCCCTCACTTGATCCAGGTATTTTTTTTAAGACTTCTAAGTGAAGCGAGGAGAGTGGAATTGAGGGAACTCTCACATTTTGTGGAAAAGGAGGCAACGGAGGGAGAGAGAGGGAAGAGGTCGGAGGAACAAAAACACCTTACCACGGCGCGCCATTTGCGAGATGTCAGTGAAGCGTTTGTGCGCGGCAGCCTGCTGTTCGTCAGCGGCAGTGATATCGCGTTGTTTGGCACGCGCGCGGTCCAGCGCCCGATTCGCCGCTGCATAGTCCGCCAGTGCGCGACTCCGTCGATAGAGCAGATCCCTCGCCGCTGCCGACTCAGCGCTGTAGTAGGCCAGTGTGTCGGTCAGCTTCAAATCCTCATCCGCCGTCACGCGCATCTGCAGTGGCTGTCAGGGGCATGAGAAAGACCTCCTCATCCTCATCCTCATCATCATCCATATTCTCATTCACCCTAGATGGAGCTGCATCTCAAACTAATGAATCTATGATTGGCAAATCATGTCGAAAGGCAAAATTGTTTCCCTTAGTCACACCCGGTATAGTCTAGAGAAACGATTGCATTTAGGCTGATCATGCTGCAGATTCTTTTAGCGACCCACACTGTATTGCAGGAAAACGAGTAAACGAACTCATTTACTAGCGAATGCACAAAGCAGTGTCTCGATAGCTCATTTTGAAGATTGTGTACTCAAAACAGAAAAATGAGTTAAAACTAGCCTAATACTAAACGCAAAATTGTTCGAATGCTGATTGAAAATTTCTTTCATGGAAGCGATGTGAGCAATTCTAGGTGTTGGTAAAGAGATTACTTAATCGCGTAAACCCTGCTTCTATCCTACGCGCACGTTCAAATCAGTCAGAACAAGAAATACAATTAATACTTCCAAATGAAAAAAACTGGCAATAGGACTCGAATTCAAATGTGTTTTATGAGACCGACCCTGTTGATAAAAAAAACCGATATTCCTGATGATATTCCGCAAATCATGAATAAAAACGATATCTTTAGCCCACTCAATTAATTTCCTAGAAAATGAGTAAAAAGCGCCTACTTGTGATACCCTTGTCTCAATTTGGCTTAGTGAGGCTTTGCCAAAAACGCATTTGACAGAGAAGTCTAAAATTGCCGCCTTAAAGACCTTTTAACGGTCCAATCATCAAACTGAAGATAAGGATGAAACTAGTAATTTTCAACATTTACGAAGCTTCACAAAAAGTGCGCTGGAAACCATATCAAATTGAGTAAACCTTCATCGAGCAACTAAATACATATTCTTTCATCCACTTTCATTAATGTCAAAATCATCGTGGAAAAACATCATAAGACAATCGAACGATTGCTAACGTACATAGAAGGCACCGAAGAAATTGCATAGTTTTGATGTGAGCCTGTAAAAAAGGTAAAGGCAGGGTCGTTCAGAGGTCATACACACAGTACACAAAAGTAACCAGAATGAGAGCGCACAAGGACTCAGCGGACTTGAAATTAATGGGTGGAGTGGTAGCAAGGTCCTGCAGCAGCAGCTCCAGACGGAGGACACTCTCACCCACAAGCCGACGATTTCGGCACATCGCATCGGTGGAATTGTAAGCGTCGTGCACAGCATTGTAGTAACGAACAAGATATGACTTCTCCTCTCTGAAAAAGGGATCATCCTCCCTCTGGTTAGACAGTAACAAATTCTCGTCCGCCGTTTTTGTAACCGACTTGAGAAAGCCTACCGCCTACGCAAAAAGGAGAGGAAAAATAAAATGAAGAGGACAAAACAGCAATGCTTACCTTTTCCTTGGCATTTTTGGTACGCACGCTGAGTTCCTGCTCGTACTCCAGAAATACCCGGAAACCATAGTCGTTTCGAAGAACAGGGTGATTAGCTATTCGCTGAAGAAAGACCTGGTGCATGGCGACTGTTTTCTTGAAATTGGCTAGATATTCTCTAAAAGTGAAAAACATTGACAATACGGATATTGGAAACTACGCCTCGAGCTCTGCTTTCAGTTTCTGCATATCTTGCTTTGTCATAGTGCCTTCGCTTTTGCCGAGACGTTGGAGTTTTGCTCTGGAGGAGTCGAAATCAGGTCGTGGAGGAGCTGGAGGCACCTGGCAAATAGTCACTGAGAAAGGAAAAACCTACTATGAAGCCAGCAAATGCTTCATTTTCCTCTAGCTGGTCATGAAGCCACATAAAGTCGTCGTGAATGCGATTCACCTGCATCTTTTGCTGCTTAAATTCGGGTAAATTGGTCTGTAAAGGGGGGGGAGAAGCGTGACGAAATGGATGGAAGGATAGTTTGCAAAGTGCAGAGCTAGAAGAAATGGCTATGGGACTGAGGGACTGACCTTTGTGCGAACTGTGAAGGAGACAAAATCCTTGTTACTAAGGGCGTCAGATATTTCCACATGCAGGTAATACTCAGATGTATTATCCGTAGGATCAGATATGATTCGACTTTGTGAATTAAAGCCTTGTGGAACAACTGACGCCCCACCAATAGGCACAGTGTCTGCCAGAAATGTCGACGGATCGGCGAAGTCTGATGCCATGGACAGAAGTCAAATCTGTAGGAAAAAGAATATTGAATATCATATCCACTTGTACTAGCATATGTAAAAAGCAACGGAAAATTCTTAAAATGGAGCGGTGAGATTGACTAATGACTCAATTATTAGCTATAAAGCAGAAAGATGCTCCTATAAGAAAATTGAGCTACCACGAAAAATAAAATGTTATTTGGGGGTAGGAAGCAGAATTAACACATAAGGAAACATATTGATGAGTAGTAACAGCTATTGAAGGATTATAAGAACAAAACAAAAAGTAAGGTTGGTGGAGTAACAATACCTAAAAATTAGACCAGGTGGACCAACCGGATCCCAGTGGAGTTCAAAGCAAGCGGTACAAGGACCAAGTAAAGATCCCCAAGCTTACGAAGGGACCCCTTTAAAAAAGTTCGAACAGCCACTAAATTCCCTTCAAAACAATATTATGGAGACGAATAAACACTTTGGAGGAAGCAACCTGCCTAAACCTCCTGATGCGACTTTGCAACGAAACCTGCATTACGACTAAAGTATGCGAAGTGGGATTATGAAGGCTTACTCAAATAGTGTTAGTTTTTTTAGGTAACATAGCAAAGGAAGCCCAACATAGCTCTCTGTAACCAATTTGCTTGCATCTAAATAATTAAAGTTTAATCAAAAGAGCAAACGAGTTCCGCATTCTTAAGTATTGTGTTTATTGCGGACACATAACGTTTAAAATATATTTATCTCACCTAAAAATAGGCAACCCTAGTAAATCCTTCCTAAACTATGTGCAGATTTCTTATTTAAATTTGGCATTTACAAGATCCCTTAGGTACACCTTTCCTTTCACCAACAGCCAAAGATCATGGATTTAATGGGTTAGTTCCACTTCTTCTTGCATCGAAAAGTACGTTAATTTTAAATCTGTATTTTTCATCGGAGATAATTAATAAAGGACTGCTTCGGTCGAAATTTTCCATGGGTAGCAACCGCTATAGAAATTCTTAACTGCTTTTCAAGTGTTCTACAAATGGTCTGTGTGTGTCTTAGAATCGTACAAAATGTGTACTGTTATACCGATATTTTTGTTGGAACTTTATTTAAATTACTAAAATTGCCCACCACTTCCACAAACTTCTACGCTTCACCGGTAGTTGCAATGTAGGTTGGACTTCCTATTGGCTAGGACCAAGTGTGCCTGTTGTAATTGGTTTTCTACTTCGAATTGCTTTATTTTTTGTTAAAATTATTTGGTCGCATTTTAACGGAGGAAATGTTTGTCTCGGGTACCATTTTTTGCAGCAGTTTGTCTCAATCACACCCTTTCCGTACAGATTATCATGACTGGATTTCCTCATGTGGGTTCCTAAAGTGTTACCATCCTGTTCTATTTGCTTATCTTTGCCTAGTTGATGACAGCCTATCAAGGCTATAAGGGCGGTCCAGTAGGCTATGGAGATCCAGACGACCGCACCATTGCGGATACGGAGCGGGGCACGCTATTCTCCAAGTTCGTACAGGAGCGTCTCATGTTCGACTTGTGTGAGCGTGAATGGCGTCACTGGCGCACTTGCATCCGTGCTCACAAGGACAGTTGGGTCCCCTCGCGCAAGTGCAAGGTGGAGTTTGCCCTGGTCAATGAGTGCCAAAACACGTAAGCTCCCCTCCCCTACCTTGCTTTCATCTTGCCTGCAACTTACCCATCCCCTGCGCTTTCTGATCCTGTCAATATCGTTGGATCGTTTGATATAAGGTTTTTTTCTTAAGCTCAGGATTTTTGGTACGGTACCTTGACAGTAAGGCATCACTGCTCATTATATTGCCCTACCTATCAGTTGCTTGTTCCCTTGCAGGCTAGTCCAAGATCCGGAGCAGATGAAGAAATTTGAGGAGGAGTACCTTCAACGACGCGCAGAATTTCGTCGAACTGGTGTCGGTGTGCGCTTTTTTACCAAAGAGATGCTGCGAAGGTCTAGTGCGGGCAGCGATGATATCAAATAAGTGTGACGGGACTCCTCCTCTCTCGTTAAGTGTACAGAAATCAGCCTCTTGACGGAATTAGCTATTAATTTTTACTTGGTCATTTCTGTGCCCAAGCGTGCAGCTTTTAGCTTGAGCTGCACCAGGTACCTAACTTACTTCCTTGGCACCTACCTTTATGAGGTTGGTTTGGCTGTTGATCAGCCCATGTGCCAGCCGGCTTCGTGTGTCGCTCTCCGCTCTAATAATCACTTTTTTGGGAAAAAAAGAACTTCCTCGTTTTTAATACTCCAACACTTGACTCCTGTCAGGGAACGTATAACAGGAACGAGCTCGTTAAGTCACCATCCTAGACAAGCAGTTTTGATAACCCCTATGCACCAGCTGACACGAATTTTGGTCGCACCCAGGCACTGAGTAAAAGTGGCATTTTAAAAACGCTGTCCGCCCAAAAAATCCCCTCTTTTGTTTTATGAGACGGACCCCAGTAGCATATTGTCGTAGTCGTTTTTAATCATCTATTAATAAACTCTTGCACTGTGCTTCACGCGTTGTTTTTCAGTCTATGGAATTATCCAATGTCTAATGAAAATTTTATTGCTGAAGTCAAGCCGAGACGAATATTTCCGAACCGTGTGGTAGAGTTAGAATTGTATCAAACAGTGAAAGAATACACGCCTTGCAATCAAGACAAAGCAAACCAATATACGTCAAAAAATGTTATTTGGGGTAGGCCAAACAGTGGTTATACTTTACAATAACTCAGAAGTTCAAATCTACTGCTCCTTCTGATGCGGCGGTTTCGTCACTCTGCCCAACCAGGGCAGACTGGCACCAACGGCAATAGAGGCGATCGTAACCACCTCCGCAAGGATGATCGTATTCTGCAGCCAGAACTCCACACCTTGCGCCTTCCAGTAGGTCCAATTGGCATCCTTGGCGATCAGCGTCAGGCCCCAGCCCAGACAAGCGAGTCCGTCCGCCCACACCACCATCTTCGCGAAAAACGGCACCTGTCCTCGACCTAGGGGGCATTCCAACTGGTTGAAAGCGGTCGTAGCCCAATAATGAAATGACAAGGCTCGCATTTGAATCGTAACGAAAACTACTTAGGCAGAGAATTCGAGGATAACAGGGAAAGTCGTCGATAAGTGAGCACTCCAGTATTACTGGCCTCGAAATTCTGCGCGCTTAATATCGTTTTGGGAATCGCGCAGATGAGCGTCTTCCGTAGATACCCGCCGATCTTACAGCTTTCACAGGAAGCTTTAATCATCACCACATCCCACTGTTGCTTGTCATCTTGATTAGTGTTGTTCAAACTGGTTAATGGCCAGCTATTAGGGTTTGTAATGGGGTAATTGACAATCGTACACTGTCGCCGTGGTAGCATTTGCTTTAATGATCATAAAATGGATAGTCTTGGTTTGAATTGAAGCCCCACAGTAACTCGGAAGAAATTTAGGGTTCCCCATTTCTACTTAAATATAATGAAGAGTCGGCATAGTTCATTAAAAGACTCCTACCCTGGGGAAGAATCACAAGAATCGGAAACGTGTAGCCGACAAAAGCCAGGCAGAAGGCTATTCCAATGACCCAATGGATTAGGTGGGTCACAAAGATGTTGGGAAAGGCGGAGGAGAGCTCGTGGCGATGCATGGCAGTGTTGAGGTTGGGTAGCGTCATGGTGGGGAGGGAGATAAGGCCGAGGAGAGCACAAACGCAGCCTGAGAGACCCACGCCGAGTTTGTCCCAGTGACGAGAAGAGTCAAAGTCCCCTGCAGCAAGCATTCGGAGGCTACCACCCGCCAAGCCTAGAAGGCGCAATGCGACGCGTATCCGAAGCCAAGGCGGGTAGCCGAAGGTCGGCTCAAAACCCAGGAGGTAAGCGAGGTGGATGTAGAAGACCGCCGCAACGAAAACAGAGGTGCTTGGAAGTAAACGCGCTGACATACCGGTCGAGGTGAGCAGGTAGATACTGGCCTACGAGGAGGTAGTGAAATCAGTTAGGCCTTTAAGGAAACGAGGAATTGAATTCAAGTCTACTGAATGTAGATCTCGGGATCGCTTTTGTATCTCCGATTTTACATGTATGCTTCAAACAAGCGATCGTCAAAGGAGCAGCAGCCTCCTCTGACTGAACCATTCTCTTGATCCGTGGGGGCGTAATAAGGCTTACGTGGAGATAGATGATCCATGGATGGACCGGCGGGTGTGTCTCATAATCGGCACGTTCGCTCAGCAGACAGAGAAGGAAGATGGCCACAAAGAGACCACTTCGTGCCAAGAGAAAGTGTGTTACTCGGAGACATCGCACACCTGTCTGCTGCCATAGTGTCAATGCACTGAATTCCACCACCTTGGGTTTCTTCGGTACTGCAGTCGAGGCCTGGGAAGCAACAGCAAATTAACGTCAATTTTAGCATTCACAAGTCCAATTCCACACTAATTTCTCGTCATCCCAAATATCATTCAGGGATGCATCAAAACCGATGACAACTACACTTTGTAATCTTAATGAAAAATAGTTTATGGAGTACAAAAAGGGTGCAGAACACGAAATCCCAGAAGGCACCTCCCAAATCAGGAAAATAATCGAAGAAGTGGTCAATTCCGTTGTTCCAAGTCTGGTGAGAACACTAAAAAAGTATTTTTTATGCTCAGGTCTTCCTCACATATTCCAAGCAGCATTGTAGGTCTGAGTCTCTTCATCACAAAAGGATTTGGTTTAGTTGCACTTTTCCATTTGCAAAGACCACAGTGATTATTCTTGGGCGTTTCATTCATTCACTGCACCCAAAGACCCTGAAAGGAATCCACCACACGTAGGGCCAGCACGTTCCACTTATCTCCGCATCCGTGGTGCTAAGGTAGGGTCCAGGTGACCCACTCATTTTCATGCTCTAACCTACCTTGCGTGATTGAACCAATTCAAGCGGTCTCATACTCCTAAAATAGCAATTTTTTTTCCAAACTAGCAGCCTTCTGGCCATCATTGACTACCTGTCTCAGTTCGAGTATCTTGCCGTAGATTGCGTCGACCACACTGGACACACGAGCAACTACACGACAAACTAGGCGGCACAAATAATACACAAGCAATAAACACATGCAAAGTTGGTCAATGCGCTTTTCCCAATAGGCATATGCATTAAATTTATGACTCCAAGATGCTGTTAAACAAATAATAAAAAATTAGCTAAGAAATGCGTGAAAGCACTTGTGAATCAAGAGGCAAATGGTTTGCAAGAAGAATAATGAGCACCAAATCATTTATTCGTAGAAAACCACAGGCCACAAATCGCAGTAGTTATGCAAGGACTGGAATCTTTCCCTATAAACGTTCCAAAATTTGAGCAAGAAAGGAGATCCTGTCCTGTGCAGGAACAAGATTTCGGGACCGTCCTGACGTGGTGTCCTGGTACGCCCAGAAGCAGGGTTCAGAATTTTCGGGTTGCAGCAAGAAGGCACGCCCACACCCAGCACGCAATGCGCCCCAGTAGTCGCGAGTCGCCGAATCTCCAACATGACCATATTGTGCCATCCGCGACTGCGAGGCCATTTCAGTATGGACCTCGGAATCAAAGAAACGGCCGCAAACCAACTCAAAAATCCTCGCTTCCGGCTTCATGTAAGCACAGCTCCGAGAGAAGACAACAAACTGAGGCAAGATTGACTAAGGCGCCTAAATGTTGAGTCGACTGCATATATACCCAGTAAACTCACAGTAAAAAACTTATCGAGGTTGAGGGCCTTCAAAATAACCGGAGTTCTTTCATCAGAGTTGGAGAGGATAGCCAAATGGAGGCCCGTGTCTGTCAACTCAGTCAAGCCTTCGACTGTACCGGGAACCACGTCCCAAGCCTCATTGGTTGAAAACCAATCATAGATTTCACTAGTGACACTCAGCGTGAGAGCACGTCTAACGTAGGCTTCACTGAATGGGGAGCTCCGCGCAAATGATTGAATAAACTTCAGCATTGGCTGAAATAACTCGAGAACTTACAACTTCATTCCACCAACGATCAGCACTGACTCCGTCAAAGCGACCAAAATTGGGCCACTTATTTTCCATCAGGCCATAAACCTCCGTGAAATGAGGCATTACCGTGCGATGATCGAACTCATAGTCTAGGTGTTTTTGAACGAAGCGAGTATAAGTTTTGATAATATTTTCCTTGGGATAGATGAGAGTCTTGAAGAGATCTACAGACAGAAAGCGCAAGGCGCATCCAGCCATTAAAAAGGGAGTAAATTAGCAGCCAATAAAAAACCACTGTAATAAATTGAAGCCACTTTTTTAGGAATAATACCTTTGCTGCTTGTTTTGCTCCGAATTTTAGCAACGGGTCACTTTAGGCTCCTCTAGCCTACCTTGGCTAAGCGGCTTGTACCTTGGGAAATGCCAGCAATACCAAGCTCCTCTCTACGTCGACTACGCACATTCTGCCGAAACGTTGTCTCTTTTTGTATTCAGAGGGGTCTCAAAGTGATGCATAAGACTGTGGTTTAGAGACATACTTCAGACGGGAATGTACCGTTCTAAATGTATTAACATGGCGTGGAAGAATTTTAAACAGATTTATACACAAGGTAGTAGAAAAAAACTTGGGGCAGAATGAATTTTTTAGCAGTTTCAACTAGCAAATCGCCATCTAATTCAATTGTTCGGCAAACAAGAAAAAGTTACATTATTATGGCTTATAAAAGAGGTCACAGTCCAGCAGATCCATATGGTAAGATGCTGCTTTTTTCAAGATCAGGACCATAAAATATATTTTGAAATGCTCTGACTACTGATTTTTATGCACAGTCATTTAATTATTAAATACGTTGTAATGATTCACCAGTGGCATTTCGGCAGCTTAAAGGGGTCCGGATTTGCAATACTTTAAGCAACATAGGGTGTTTTTAATATTGTAATTCCTGCTTTGAGGTCGGCAACAACCAAGTGTGTACACCAGTGACTTATGCCTTGCTAAGTCCTTTACCAGATGCTTAAGCGCGTGGTTCAGGGCCTGGCCCTGTCGTGTGTACGAAATGGGCTGGGGGTTTTATACTTGTGGACCAAATGAAGCTCTTGTCGTTTCTGGTGAGATCATTATTACTTGTTCATTTTTAGGCTGTTGCTATAATAAACCCTACTACGTGCCCGGTGGTCGGGTTTTCGTACTTCCATTCATTCAGAGACTTGATCGGTAAGACTGGGATCACCAATTCGCGCGGTATTCTTTTACCTGAATTTTTAAGCTAATACTGAATTATTGTATTCGGAGTTATTGTGCCCTATTCTAGTCATCGCATTGTTCCCTCAGGTCTAGTGGGATATTACCTGTATATTTCACACTATCACTTTCTTCACATCACAGCATTGTGGATAGACACACGTCTTGAATTTTCCCTTCACAGGATTTCCCTCAATATTATGACCCTAATCATTGAAAGTCCTCGCATTTATACTCGTAATGGCGTTCCGATTACTGTCACCGGTGTCGCTCAAGTAAGTCCATTTGACTTAAAAGTGGGGACTTTTGATAAATGTTAAGTTTTTTAGAGTTGTCGGGCTAATAAACCA